GTCTCCAGCAGACCAAGGGCACCGGGAGCAGCTTTTCTCGCCCCGGGGGTCGAGGTGGCGGGACCGCTGCCTGTGAGCTCCGGGGCGAGAAAGCCCCGTTCGTAAGTGCGGATCCGACATAAGTCAGATCCACGTAAGTCGGGGATTGCCTGTACTTGCTCTGCGATACTCTGCTGCTGACAGGAGAGCATCTTCACTGAAGCACTACAGCCGCAGTGTTTTAAATGTAGACCTGCTTCAAGTTCAGTTCCTTGCTTTCTCTATTTGGCTTTTGCCTTCAGTGTTTTTTCCCTTTGTTTTTTAAATGCTAAATTGTGTTCAATTGTCATTAACAGTGGAATCATTCAACTGCTTTGGCTATCATTTTGGAAAATTTGCCATTATTGTATTTATATGGTTCAGTCTCTGTCATTTACAGCAGACATTGATAAACGGATGTGTGTTGACTGATTTTGTTTGTTAATTCTGTCTTTAATTTTGATGCTAGGTAAATGGCACAGAGGGACCTTTTGGAACCAGCAACATTCAGGAGCATCTCTTGCCTTTTGATTTGTCAATATTTAAATCTCTTCATCAGATAGAGGTATGCTTGAGACACTGTTGGTTCAGAAATTTTCCAATGGCTGTTCAAAAGTAGTCTAGCAATACCATTATTGCAACGTATCACTTAGTATTGGTGAGCTTACATTTACATTGGCTTGGCACTAGAAATAATTACAATGTTTGTTTATAAATTTTTATTGTTTATATTAATTATTAATAAAGGAGACAAGTACCACTTTCTCTAGCCTGGGAAAGAAGGATGCTAGACTAGATATTTAGAATAGCTCATTTTGTACTTCCCCTAAAAGAGCAAGATTCATAATAGAATTACAGTAGATCTTTGTTTCAGATGTAAAAATCAAAATCACTTTTGTGATGATCTTCCTGCTGCTTAGAAAAGATTAGTAGGAAGTTTTAGCAAGGTGTCGTGTTACTAAAACATCTTTATTTGTTGAAATTCCAATATTTACAAATAATACCGTGAAATAAAATGTTTTTACAGTGTACTTCGAGGTGCAGTGTTTCTGTTTGTTAGTTTAGTTAATTTGAAAAAAATATTTAATTACAATTGGTCTGACAGTGCAGTTGAGACAGTTTCTGTTACATGAAATGAATGGCTGCTCATCATAACTTGCTTACCAGACAGAATATTTACGTCATATGGAGATGGCCAATGTCTGTACTGTTATGAAATATAGAACAATAGTGAACTCTCATTTTCAGGGTACAGTAAATGTTACAAATTCAAAGACACTGGGGTTATAATGGCAAATGCATCAAAGAAAGCATTAAATCAGCTAGAAGAACTCTGATCAATCCATATAGGTTTATAGATTCCAAGGCTGGAAGTGATCACTGATCATATGATCTGACTTCCTGTATGACAGAGGCCATAGTGGTTTTTAAACTACAGGGCGTGACCCAGGCATTGGGTTTCATTGCTGCAGGGGGATCAGGTGACCAGTGGGGGTGCTAAGACAGACTGTCTGTCTGTCCTGGTGCCACAGACTGTGCTGCACCCCAGAAGTTCCTGGCTCCTAGGTGGCATGGGGAAGCGCGCACAGGGCTCCGTGCCCTGCCCCTGCCTTGAACACTGGCTTTGGACTCCCATCGGCTGGTAATCTACTGCTAGCTGCTTCTGGGGCACCATATGGTCTGTGGGGCCAGGAGAAGCAGGAAGCTGCCTTAGCATCCCCGCAGCACGGCTGACTTGGAGTCGTTCAAAGTAAGCCCCTCTTTCCCCAGCCTTGACACCCCCAAAGCCGGATCCCCCCTACACTCCAAAGCTCTTATCCTCAGCCCCATCCTGGGGCCCACACTCTACTTCAAGTTATGTTCAGTCACAGGCATCAACAGTTATCTTCAGTGGAGTCATGAGGGGAAAAAAAAGGGTTGAAAAACACTGACATAGATGTTTCCCAAAACAATTGCTAGAACCTATCTTTTAGAATAGTGGCAAAAAATTGTCAATGGTGAAGAATCCCCCATAATCCTGTGTAAATTGTTCTGGTGATTGATTATTCTTGCAAATAAGGTATGAATTTATATAGTAACTCTGACTTTGTCTAGCTTCATCGCTAAAGAGCCCATTGTCAAATGTTTGTTTCCCTCAAAGGTACTTATAAACTGTAATCAAGTCACACCTTAACCGTCTCTTTGTTAAATTTAGTAGATTGGGCCCCTTGCGTTTGTCACTATAAGGAAGGTTTTATAATCCTTAAATAATTCTCCTGGCTCTTTTCTGAACCCTTTCAATTTTAACAACATCTATCCTGAAGCGTTGGTGCCAGAACGGACATACGATTCTAGCAGGGGTCACATGAGTCCTAAATGCAGGGGTAAAATTGCCCCTCTACTCCTGCTTGAGACCCCTGTTCACACATCCTCTGGTTGCTTTAGCTGTTTTGGCCATACTATCAAACAGGGAGGATTTATTCAGCTGCTTATCTGCCTCCAGCTATGTAGACTGCTGTTGTGATCTCTGGCCTCAGGAGGTCTGGTGGCTCGTAACTACAGTGTGTTCAAGTGTCATCAACAGTGGAATCCCTCAACTTCTTTGGCTGTCATTTTGGAAGGTTTTTTGTTGTTGTATTTTTATGATTCAATCCCTGTAATTTACAATATACATTGATAAATAGATGTGTATTGACTGATCTTTGTTTACTAATTCCATCTTTAATGTCACCAGCCTCTCATTCCTTACATTCTAATATTCATGTACTTGTGACTTATTTTATAAGGCTGTATTTTCCCTTTAAACAGATAAATCACTGTGGTGCAAATCTTATTAAAGGGCTGACTTCATCAAAGCACACTTTAACCACCATGAGTGTTCGGTTTTCAGCAACCTCCATGGAAGTAAGTGAATTTTTTTAAGGCTGACAGTTGTTCAAAGCTTGTCCAAAAGCGATGCAGTTGCAGGAGTATTTGTTTGAAGTCATGTCTTTCTGTGTCAAGTTTTCCTGTGAAAGCCATATGACTGAAGGGTCCTATATTACCTTGAAGGGAAATGTCACTTCTGTACATTGGAAGGGATTGTTTATCATCTGTGCACTGACTCCTTAACAGCTGTTTTTTCAAACAAAATGTTGACAGATTTTAAGAGATCTTTATTAGAGGGAATTAGTTATTAATCCATAACTGTTAATCCATAACTGATTATTTCCTGCTTATTCAGTTCTCTGCACTCTCATTGGCTGAGGGGGGTGTCTGGTATCCATGACAACTGTAGTTATTTCTCAGTAATCTGAGTGTCCATGCAGTTTCTTTGCTTGGAGAAGCTACTGCTGTCTGAACATCCCATCCTTATGCTCAAAATAAGCATCATTCTTGGAGTTGCAATCCTGAGAGTCCAGATATTAAATTCTATTAAATTTAATCTGAATGTTTTCTGAATTTAATCTGAATAGTTGTCAAAGTTTCTTCAGTGAACTGGTGCAAGACTTGCTTTGAGAACTATTTGTTTTCCTTGAAGGCGTAGATGTAATGCTTTAATAATGTTTTTAATTGTCTGTCTTACACAGGAAATTCTAGTGCCTGAGGCTTCTGAATTTGACCATTGGGAGCCAGAGGGTGCCCTTTCAAGTTGTCCTGTGACAGCGGTTATCCCAACTTGGAGGACTTTAACAACCTTAGATATGAGTCACAATCGCATATCTCAGATTGATGATTCAGTGGTAAGACATTATGGAGCTTAGTCTTCAAGACATTTTCTTGTTTTAAAAAAATACATAGCAAGCATACTGTGAAACAATCTAGATAGCTGGCAAGGCTTGAAATTTACATTAGAAACTTCCATTTGTCTAGAGGGTTTCTGTTTGCACTGATATTTTTTTCACTTAATATTATACAATGACAATCTAAATCACAGAAAAAGCAATTAGCTAACCACAGTGAAATCACATGATTAATTGAAATTAATTGTGATCGTAGTTGTAATCCCACAATTAAAATAGAATATCAATTGACATTAAATATTTTGGATCAATTTCTACATTTTCAAATATATTGGTTTGTTACAATATAGAATACAAAGCATACAGTGCTCACTTTCTATTTTTATTGCAAATATTTTCACTGTAAAAATGATAAAACAGTATTTTTCAATTCATGTCATACAAATATTGTAGTGCAATTTCTTTATCATGAAAGCGCAACTTACAAATATAGATTTTTGTTGTTGTTGCATAACAGCAATTAAAAACAAAAGAGTGTAAAAGGTTAGAGCTTACAATTGCACTCAGTCCTACATCTTGTTCAACCAATTGCTTACATTTATGGTAGATAATGCTGCCTGCTTCTTATTTACAATGTCACCTGAAAGCGAGAAAAGATGTTTGTCTGGCAATTTTGTAGCCAGCATTGCAAGGTATTTGTTCCAGTTATACTATCCTCTTCATGCTTTGGCCACCATTTCAGAGGACATATTTCAGTGCTGATGATGGTCATTTAAAAAAAGTGTAAATTAAATTAGTGACTGAACTCTCTGGGGGAGAATTGTATGTCTCCTGCTTTTATTTTACTCCCGTTCTGCCATATATTTCATGGTATAGCAGTTTCAGATGATCACTTAGCGTGTGTTCATTTAAAGATGCTTTCACTGCAAAACACAAAGATGGTACTAATGTGATATTTCTGAGGATAGCTACAGCTCTCAACCCATGACATGAGAACCTGAAGTGCTTTCCAAAATCTTAGAGGGAGAAGTCATCAGGCATTTTCAGAAGTCTTAAAAGAGCACACACTATTACGGAAACTGCAGAACCCAAACCAACAAAAAAGAAAATCGCCCTTTTGCTGAAGGCATCCAACATAAATGATGAAAACGAACATGTGTTGGTCCCCTTTGCATCAGGGTATTTGAAAATGCAAAAGACAGCCAAAATATTTAAATAAATGGCATTCTGTTTAACAATGTGATTAATCACTTTTTTAATCACACAATTAATTACAGTCAACTTTTAATTTCTTGACAGCTCTAAAAGGAATAATTTTGGAAGCTGCTTAAGCAGGTTTGTTTGAGGGCAGAAACTACTGAATTAAAAGTCGATGGCATTTTCCGTAATGGGGATGTACTACTTGGAACTATGTTCTTCCCCGCAATGGGGACATGGACCTGCAATTTTGCAAAATCGTGTGGTAAAAAATCAAACATAATAAATTCGACCTCAATTCATAGTGTAGACGTGGCCTCAGGCAAAGCCAGGGCACTGGCAAATGCAGGTGCATATGCAGCATGTTGTGATTGATTAGTTAAATTTCAGAAGAGCTGCAGTGTTCGTGCAACTTTTACTGTTCAAACTAGTCTTATTTTTAACTGTTTATAAAAAATAAAATCCTGTTCTGGGATAGGTTTTGTCAGTGTTTTCAGCAATCTTGAATCCCACCAGTTCTAGTAACACACTTGATAGTGTTTTCAATATGAAAAATCTTCTGAACATGAAGACCACATCCTAAGTACTCAGTCGAGCCATGGTTCCTTTGTTTTCCTTTCCACGCGGCTTCTCAAATTAAACATAATTAAAGTAAGCTGTGGTTTTTTCAGCTGTCACTGCTATAATGTATATGCACCTCACAAACAATTAACAAAATTTTCCTCGTAACCCATATGTGAGATAGGGAAGTAGTTATCCTAATAACGTAAACGGGGGAATTAGAACATAGATTAAGTGGCTTGTCGAACATCATTAAGTCTCTAACACAGGCAAAAAATAGTCTCCGTTTGCAAGGTCCAAGTCGAGAGACTTTACCTCACTGCATTCCTTCCTCCCTTCAGTTTTTTTGAGCAAAGATTGATCTTTTGGGAGATGAAAACCAACACAAGGATATAATGCAGGCAGCATCACACCAAGTCTCTGAATGAGTATCAGTAATTACTTTAATTCTGCAATATGAATGAGTTTGAAGGTTAGGGTGTAAATAGGATCTAGAGTTTATTGTGGTTTTATGAATGCTTCAGTGAGATACAAAGTTAATGCATAAACTGTAGCCATAAGAGCCAAGCTCATCTGGCTCTTGCGATTTTTAGCTTTATCTGGTTTGCTGCATAACCCAAATACTCACTCCTACTGAGATGAGCTATCTTAAATGAACCTGGGCTGTAATGCATGGCTCAACTGGGAGACAGCACATTAAAGAATGAGTATGAAAGCCATCATTTCTTGACCTCAGTTGTCAAAGAAAAGATGCTTTTTTAAAGTAGTGCTTGATGCCACTTAAGTTGTTGAAATACCATATTGGGTGAGTGAGGGTTTTTTAAATTTTATTTTGCTCAGGACATAGAGACATGCCTTTTTCTTATTCATTAATCAGCTCAAGGCCGGGAAATGTGGGCAGATTAACAGAAGCTAAATGACATTTTACTACATAAAATCATTTCTTCTCTTCCAGAAACTAATCCCGAAGATTGAATTCCTAGAATTGAGTCACAATGATGTGTCACTAGTAGAGAATTTACAGGTCAGTGACATATTTGAAAATTGAATTTTGTCTCCAAAGTCTTGGAATGTGAGAGCACAGAGCTGCTTCCTTTGGACTTTGGTATTGGCTAATTTTCTCATGCATCGTCATTAACTGTAAAGATTACATCCGGACATAATTAAAAACAATTGGGGCAGGCTTCCTCTTCCATGTTCCACCATATACCACTTTCAGTCCTCTGTTTTCCCTCTTACATTTTTTTCTCCTTTCACCAATTTACCTCCATTTTTATTGCTTTGCACAGCAGCTAGCTGGCAGTGAGGGCAGCATGGGTCTGTAGAACTGAGCTGGGAGGATCCCACCCTCCCTCCATCAGGCCCACATAGATGAATAATACCGTCCATATATTTTTCAGTGCTGGCTACTATGTAGTGTAATCTTGCACACAGCTGGGGGGTGAGCATTACCATGTCTCAAATACATGTTGTTTAATTTGACTGAATTGGTGTGTGATGTTACTGTGTTCTTTTCGTGTTGCAGCATCTTTACAACCTCATTCATCTGGACCTATCCTACAACAAAATTGCATTGTTGGAAGGTGTCCATACAAAACTTGGGAACATCAAAACTCTGAATTTAGCTGGAAACCTCCTGGAAAGGCTATGTGGCCTTAACAAACTATACTCACTAGTCAACCTGGATCTGAGCAACAACAAAATAGATCAGGTAACTACTTAGTTTCATTTGAAGAATACATTTAACTTTTAAAAAATTGTCCTTCAGATTATGGGCAATATGTTTCAAAGTGAGTGGTTTCAGATAAATAAGTTAAATACAGACATAGTAGGTTTTTGTGCTTGCAGTTATGATAGTTTTTCTGTTTTATTCACCATATGTTTCATCTACATGTTTATACATACGCTAACTTTCAAATAATGCAGATTTGAGTGACACCTACATTTATATATTACAATTTTCAGATTGAGGAAATAAGAAACATAGGAAGCCTTCCATGTTTAGAAAAGGTGATTTTATCCAACAATCCTTTGAGCATCATTCCAGATTACAGGACCAAAGTGCTAGCCCAATTTGGGGAAAGAGCCTCAGAGGTAAGCCATATAGAATTTGTATTTGATTTCAGCACTTAAAAAGCTTTTCATTTCTTTTAATCTGTAGAGAAAACAAGTAGCTTTGGGTGGTTGGCACAACTGTCAAACTAGTTTGCAAAAATTCCCTTAAATGTTTTAAGAACATAAGAACGGCCATACTTGGGTCAGACTAAAGTTCCATTCAGCCCAGTATCCTTTTCTCCAACAGTGGCCAATGCCAGATGCCCCAGAAGGAGTGAACAGAACAGGGAAACATCAAGTGATCCCTCTCCTGTCATCCATTTCCAGACCCTGACGCAGAGCCTAGGGACACCGCAAGTGATCCCTCTCCTGTCATCCATTTCCAGCCCCTGACGCAGAGCCTAGGGACACCGTTCCTGTCCATTCTGGCTATAAGTACTGATGGACCTAACCTCTATGAATCTATCTAGCTATTTTTTGAACGCTGTTAAAGTCCTGGTCTTCACAACATCCTCTGGCAAGGAGTTCCATAGGTTGACTGTGCTGTGTGAAGAAAAACTTCCTTTTGTTTTTTAAACCTGCTACCTATTAATTTAATTAGGTGACCCCTATTTCTTGTTATGGGAACAAGTAAATAACTTTTCCTTATTCACTTTCTCCATACCTGTCATGATTCTATAGACCTCTATTATATCCCCCCTTAGTCTCCTCTTAAGCGGAGCGCTTAATTCGAACTTGGTAAACCTCATTCTACGAGGACTAACGCCTAGTTCGAATTAAGTAGTTCGAATTAAGGGCTGTGTAGCCCCTTAATTCGAACTAGTGGGAGGCTAGCCCTTCCCAGCTTGCCCTGGTGGCCACTCTGGCCCAAACC